TTTCAAGAGAATTATTCCTACTCTTTTAAACTGAATATATTCCTTCGAATTTGAACCTGTGGGACCCCATAGCTTTCCATCAAATTTCTCTAGATTTGCCATGTACGGCTCGTTAATCATATACTCAGACTCAGCAAATCTTTGATCTGGAATATTTTTAGGTCCTAATTACCCTCACAACAGGATGCAATTTACATGTCCAGGACGACTATGAGTCTACCAAGTTTTTTGGCTTTCCACACTACGGTAAAGGATTACTGTAGCTTGCCCCTTATCCATCAAGCTACTCGACGTCCCCCGGCCCCGGGGTAAATTTTCTCATTCTTTTCCTTTCCCAAAGCTTAAAGGAGCATTTAGGAGGTGGATTCGACATCTTAAGCCTTGAAATGTTAGACTTGGGAATATAGGTAGAAGGTTTAGAAAAGATGTACTACAAGAGTACAGATTTGTTTTAGAAAACTGAGACGATGGACTTGGAAGTTTAAAATACGGTTGAAACTCATATATTTGTCCAACAAACTTCAAGACTGACAAATCTAAGAGGCAAACATGGGGTCGGAATCTTACACCGACCAACCCACACAAGAAGCTAGCATTGGAGTCAAGGTCAATGTTGGGGCAAGAAACGAGCAAGAAACTCGAGAATCTATCTTCTTCGAGTGTATACTAGAAAGCTTGTTAAGAAACCTAGTTTCGAAATAGTTTCTTAATTTGTCTTCGAATTCGAATGATGACTCCTTTTTTCCCCATATTTCATGGTTGCCTGGAACTTGTCAATGTGCGAAGTAATAAATTGAAAACAGATAAGACGACACTCAATAACATTCAAAATACTATTTCGAAAACAAACTTGCAGAACACTTTACAAAAGAAAAAGGGGGGAAAGGAAACGAACTCAACTTATTTCTGGACAGGCTTTATGGGCCTCGCTGATCTGGTTTATTGGGCTCAGAAGAAGCCCAAGCCCATTATTCCTGGACGGAGGGCTCTCCAAATTGTACATTCAGGTTACTTGCAGCACTCGCTCATCAGTTGTCCAAATTCCCCAAGCATACATATTTCAGCTGCAAGTACATTATTGAGAAATGATCAACAAATTCTATAACAAATGATCAACTTAAAGTTTTTAACATATCAAGGGAGGAAACAGAATCAAAGTTATTAAAGGCTGTTTGACAAACATTTGGTTTTAGTTCTGTTTTTTAAGATTAAGCTTGTAAACAATAGTTTAACAAATATATTTCTCTGTTTTGCTCTCTACATTTTAGAAATATTTTCAAAATTAAGCTACATTTTGAAAACTAGAAAATTTTTGTTTTTGAAATTTGGCTAAAAATTCAAGTGTTTTTAAGGGGTGGGAGAACATACCAAAAAAATTGTGAACGGAGAATCAAAATTTTCAAAAACGAAAAACGAAATTGTTATCAAATAGGACCTAAAATTCACCACTTTCAACTTTGAAAACTACTTGAGCAAACAACCTTATGTGATTGGTTAGTTTAAAACTAATGTTTAAATGGAGTCGGGCAAACAACCAGAAGATTGGATGATTTACACAAGAAACATGCCTGATAAAGACGAAATTTGGTAAAAAGTTGAGCCTTCTAAATTGCATTAAAAGGGTGGAGGAATACCTCAAGATACTCGTCCATCCCGTATTTCGACCCTTCCCGACCAAGGCCTGACTGTTTAACACCGCCAAATGGGGCCACCTGTAATAAGACATTAGGGGATGTGATAAGCCACTATACATTTACTAGGGACTAAGGTATACATTGAAGATCCTGCTTCATATAGTTCTCACGGGCCGTCCATATTCTCAATTTTGTATTCATAATAGAAGATTTGCACCCCAACCAGGCAGATTGATCTCAATGACCCTGTTTTTGGAACGAGTGCCTACCCTTTCTCCATCATTTTAGGGCAATACAGCATTATCAGTTGAGTCTAGAAAGTACAACTAATAAGATCAAGAATTTTCAGCCGCAATAATGAATTAAAGTTCAGCAATGACATTCAAATTCAAATTCTGAGTATAATAGGCGTGGTGTGAAAATATAATGTCGATCAAAGTCTAGGCAGTATACAACTATTCATACCCATTAAAATTATAAATGGACTTCACATTCAGTAGGATCATGATGGATGGCAATTTTTTAAGACACGAAACAATTTCATTGATAAAATTAGTAAGGCACATGTAACACCACAAACCAAAGGAGTAAGAAAATTTTCCTCCACATGGTGAATCATAGAAAGTTCAATTACAAAAGAAACTGTCCAAGTAGGGCCATGATGAGGCTACAGAAACAGTGACATTTTTTAACAATTTTTTTTTTTTTTTTGAACAAGACAGAAAGTGTCATACCACAGTGTATCACCATCCCTGCCCATGTTTTGAAAAATTCTCCAATCTGTTACCAACCAAATCTCCCAGAGATCGCATCTAAAGCCATTCATCCAAATAATCGAGCCCCTTCCTCTCAGACAGTGGCCTCGTAACAGTAAAGAAGAAATTTTGAATAGAAGTGAGGAAGTCAAAGTTCTGATCAAAGATGCTTAAAAGTCTGTACCAACAATGCCTTGAATAGGGAAAATCCGAAACAAATGGTCATCTAATCATGAGAACAACACAAACAACAGCTAGAATTAATATATGGCCAAGGGAATCTCAATTAAACCTTATCCTGAGTATTAGCCTATCAGGCCACCAACAGCCCAGCTCCACAAGAAAAATTTAACCTCCTTCGGATGACAACACACGCTCCAAACTACCTTGGACAGATATGAATAAAAAAACAATGTCTGCCCCTCCTATAAAGGTCCTCAAAAGAGATTTGACAGTGAAAGTCCCCAAAACGACCATCCAACTTCCTCAGCCAAGCATCCCTTCCCTCAAAAAGCTGATAGGAGGATAAAGAATCTAAGAGTGACATCCACTTAATAGTCTCTAAGTTGTTAGGCTTTCTCTTCAGGTTGATAATCCACTATAAAAAGAGCAATTGCATCTACCTGCCACCAAATGCTCCTTACTGTCACAAACAGCAAAAAGAGTGTACGTACAAAGGAGGTGGAAGTCAGAGAACCCCACCCCTATGGGAGAGACCATTACCTACAATAAAACGGTATCCTCCATAATGTTACTTAAGGTCAAAATAACCTTCCATGAACTTTTACCAGTCCCACAACCTATGTGGCTCAAAAGTCTCGCCCACCACAGAAAGGCCGTATTTACTTTGGACCACCAACTATATACCACAAGGAGTTCCTGTTCAACTTTAAAGGAAACTCTCATAACCATTTAGCAAACAAAGAAATTCTTTTGGCAAAGATTACCAATCTCCATACAACTTTTCTCCCACGGAAGGAGACAGTCTTCTAGTTGACTGTAACAACTGAAAAAAATAAAAAATAAAATAAAAAGTATTTATATATATACCTGCCAAATTCTTTTACATATTGAAAGCACGATAATCATATTTGGGTTACTCCACCGATCTAAGAAGATCATTATGGGGAGATATTTAAAGATCGAATGGTCATAAACAAGTAAAAGTTCACAGACATTTACTAATGGCTACTTCTGAGGACCTTTGAGGCTTTGAGCGACAACAAACAAGAGAAATTTACCTCATCGCATGCAACTTCAATTATATCAGAATTAAAAAATATACCATGCCCGCCCCCCCCCCCCAAAGAAAAAAATGAAAACAGGGTCAAAGAGGTGGCAGAATCAGAGTAGACATGAGGCTCACCTCCGTAGAAATTAGGCCTTCATTAACACCAACCATTCCATATTCGAGGGCTTCAGTCACTCTCCATGAACGTTGAATATTATTTGTGAATATGTAAGCAGCTAATCCTATAAAGACATCAGACATTAATCAAATTTTAGTGAATTGATCACCTAAAAAGTAATAAGAAACGCAACTTGTTAATGGATGTAAATGAGGTAGAATATATGATGATGTGAATATTATGGCTAGAGCAGAACCTGCATTGGTGCCATTAGCGAGAGTAATTGCTTCCTCCTCTGTTCTGAATGGAAGTAAGGGCGCCACAGGACCAAATACTTCCTCCCTGTTGTAAAATAGAACCAGTTCAAAGATATAAAGACATGAAGCAAAACTGAGCATAGAATGAAAGGAGCGCCTACAGCCTAGCACCAAATCAAGTGCAGGCACAAATCATGTTTATCAGAAATCTTGCACATTTCACAAGAACGTTACGAACACTAATTACCAAAAAGAATCTTTCCATATCCCAGTCAAACTGATCAAATAAGTGGTATTAAGTTATTAACTGGGTACAAACTTTGTACTTTCCCTCTTTTTCATCCTCTCTTTATTAATGAATGGTGTTTCTTTAAAAATAATAAACAAATAAAATAAGCCCCCCTAGCATTGAAAAGATATTAGTGTGACTTGCTAGCTTAGTCGACATGATCAAAAAAGGAGAATCAAGAAAAGGATCTTTGGGTCAGAGAAATTTCTAATTTAAGAGAGTATAGTCACTGCAACAAAAAGTTTCCCCAGATTCCAGAATATGTATAACATTAGGAATCAAATCACCTACTCTACAAATTTAAGGCACCCAAGTGGGTGTCATATGTCTAATTAAACCAGGTTGTGATCATTTATGGAACTGAAGATTATTAACGGAAGGTAATGTGTAACATCAATACCTGGAAACAAGCATGTCACTCTTCACGTCAGTAATAACTGTAGGCTCAAAAAAAGTCATCCCAAGGCTATGTCTTTTACCACCAAGAAGAACTTTTGCTCCCTTCAAAGAAAAATATGAAGGAGAGAGAGGGAGAGAGAACTAAGTGAACTTCAAACGATTTCTTAGTGACACAAATTGGAAATAAATGGGAAAATGTAAATACATCAACACACCCCAAATATTGGAAGCTTCATCAACATATGTCAATGTTTATCATGCCAGCTATTCAACATATTGTAGAAAGTTGAAGGTAAATGTAGAAATTATTTCAATAACTAAGAAATTTCACCGAAGAAGAGTAATTTAAGGCTAAAAAATTATTATAAGAAAGTGCCAAAAAATTATTATAAGAAAGTGCCAACAAGAAAAGAAAGCCTCGTACAAAAAGACCACCTCCTCCACAAGCATACCCCAGATGTTATTTATGAATGGAAAGAGTGACAAATATTCATAAACTCTTTTTCCATTGAGGTAATGAGAGACAGTAAGTGGAACTTGCCAACAGCCTCTATAATGCTAAAAGATGCATACACTGATTTCCAAAAGAAAGTTTCTTGTTCATCTTTCAATCCTGTAAGTAACGAACTTAGGAACTAATGAAGAAAGAATAGTAGAAAAAAGCAACGACTAAATCCCAACTGACTAGTATTTCATGATATTTTCCCACTAGATAGCAATAGGCAATTGACTATGAACTACGGCCTAAAGTATGATGATGCACCTGAAAAACTGAAAACAAACTAAATCAGAAGCTTTACTATTCATCAGCCTTTTAAGATACAAGGAGAGACCCTTGAATAGGCACTACTCCCGTAACTTACAAACTAAACTGACAGAACCACTACCCACAGTAACGATGGTAACATGTCAGTAAATGGATAAATAGCAGGGAAACAATAATCCAACAAATTAATCGTGTCAATGTCATACGACTAAAGTAAAAATGGTGAAACTAAAAACTTCAGATAATTAGCTCATCTATCCTACTTCTCATTCTCACAAACAATGCCAAACACAGAACGTTGGGCTCTATTAATCCTAAGACCAAAGATCCCTTAAAAGAAGAACCAAAGCCCACTAATTACATTAAAAAGAAAGATAAGAATCCTCCGCAAAGGCAATTGGCAATGCACAAATCAAATAAGCATGTTCCATTCACGAATGCTAGACTTTCACATTCATTGCACGCTTTAAGAGTTCCAGAAATTTCTGCCCCGCCTATTTTCCAACTTCTAGGAAACTGAATAGTGACTAGCAATATCAATTATCATTAACGAGTTAAGTAATAAGCTATCAGAGCCTCTTTGAATCATTACCATGATAGTAATTGATAATTCCAAAAAACTATGTCAGAAACAAACCTTTTCAATGGCATCTTGAAGAAATTTCTCAACCTATCAGGAAAAAGTCCACGGGCGTCAATTCATACAGAAATTGCTCAAAATAGTTGATGCAAGAATGCAGATTTCATGGTTAACAAGATGGAAACAAAACAAACCTTCTGCACGGCAGCTTCATTAATTAAAGGACCCTAAACAAATGAAGCGAGAATTAAATTATGGTAATAGTCTTAGGAGCATTTCAGAGAAACCAAGTTCAACCAACAATAAGTTTATGGTAAAGTAATTGTAACATAATGGCTTATTGGAAAAAGTGCGCCTTCATATTTTCAGATAAGAAACATATGACAATCATTTAAGAGCAAGTTCAGAAAACAGGAAACAAAACTAAAAAAATAAAAAATAAAAAAATAGAAGAAGAAGAAGAATAAGATAATACATCTTCCAAATCGATGGCCGATGAAGATTACAACATCTTCCAAATCGATGGCCGATGAAGATTACAAAAGACTATCCAATTCAAACTAATGTAAGAGGGAAAGTACTTATAATTGTATTTAGATAGGAAATCCAAGAATAAGCAACAAAGCAAACTAACTCCCACAGGTTGCTCATATTCCTATGTCCAATAAAAAATTATTCTGTTTATTTCTTACTAAATGTTTCAAAAGAGAGCCTTAGTTGCATTTATCCGCAGATCTTTGTTTCAACTTTGAAAGGATGATGACATGACATTTGAAAAATCCTCCGCAGATACAAAGGGGTACTAAAATATGGAAGGTTAAAGGAGCGCAAACATAATATTGGCAGTCAATAAAATTAAGTTACCTTGAGCTTGGAAGACAACTTTAAAGAAAAGACTAACAATCACTACTGAATAAGGATAAAAGGCACAAACAACTACCTGAGCTACACCGTCACCAAACCCATCACCAACTTGCAGATTTTGCACAGCTTTTGAGAAAGCATTTGAAAATTTCTCATATATACCTGAAATTGGAGCTCATCTTAAATCCAAAAGAAAAGAGCACAATTCATCCAATCAAAGCTAACAGTTCTAAAAGAATTCAAGAACTGATATAGGATTATATGAAACTAGGGTACTGAGAAAAGACATTCATCTTCTCGAAGGAAATAGATAATCATGTTACAACACATGTTACAACACATAACAAAATATAGTTCCTTCCAATGTGACTATCATCCGCCCCTTCATCCATAAAGACTTACATGGCTTGTTCCTTTTTCAGGATAGTAAGATGAATTTAGCTATCAAACACAAGTTACTCCTATCAAAATTCTAAAGCATTCAGAAAATTCTCTTCGCAGCAAAAATTACTAATATCATTGAATCAAATCTTTTAAATGAGATGAGGAAGTGTCCATCAGGATCGAAGTACATATAGGTCAATACCTTCTTGAACAATAATTCTATTGGCACAAACACAAGTCTGTCCACTATTTCGAAACTTTGCTGCAATCTGAAAGATGAGATATGGTTTAGATACCAAATTTTCCATAGCAAGGTATGTATGCACTTTATAGTAAATAGTAATGCTGCTATTGAAAAAAGCAGGATAGCGTTGCACTTCTAATAAATAGTATAACTTTCCTAAGTTTACCAAACAGACGGAGAAAATGAAAGCTGCGTGTGGAACATAATTTAAAGGGCAACTAGAAGCATAGTTTCAAATTAGGTACATCATAAGCTCCACTAGATTAAAAAATCAAGGTAGCATCCTCAACACAAACAGACTCTATGTCTCCAGTGTTCGGGAAGAATGAGTGGTAATTACATTTAACAATGCATGACTAAGATTGTTTCAAATCCGTAATCCTCATTAGTTAGGCACTCAGTGTGCAACTCTTAAAAGCTGCAAACTACCAACGGGCCCAAGTTTGTAAGCACTGCAATTGTGTGTGTGTTCCTTATTGGACAAATTAATGCTACAAAAAATGTTGTATGGATTTAAACAAAATCTAGATTGACATAACGGAAAAGACTAACAAAAAAATGATGTCAACCCTGCCAAATGCTGAAATTAAAATGTAAAGACGATTGATGCTCACATATTGAATTAATATTGATAATTTCACTTACGGCTCCTTTCACTGCAATATCCACATCTGCGTCATCAAAGATTATGCAAGGTGCATTACCACCAAGTTCTAAAGACACCTAGAAAAGAGAAACGAGTATCATAGGCCATATTATGTTTTCCAAATCTCCATTTTCTGAGAAAATACTTTAACTTTCTGAATTGTGAATACCCTTTTAACAGTCCCAGCAGCTCCGGCCATCAACTTTTTTCCAACTGCTGTTGAGCCAGTAAACGTGATCTTTGTTACCTGCATAAGTTGGATAAGCCAATAAGATTAAAGCGATAGCACCATACTGCAAAAATAATCGTACTCTGTAAAATTATGGGGAACCTGAGAACTTGCAAGCATAGCATCCCCAATGGCAGGAGCATCTCCCATAACCACATTCACGACACCCTACACATTCAAAAATCAATCGTTAGCCATATATGAAGAACTGAAAAGTGCACTCAGCACTAAGCTAAGATGACAGAGGAAAATGCAAATACAATATTTCGAGAACACAGTGCAGAAGAAATATGTGAAACAAAGAAAGCCACATGCCTAACTAAATTCTACAAATCTTCTCGCTTTTCCTCAGCAGTTAATGACAACAGAACCTATTAAATGTAATCTTCCACAAGCAAATAGTAACTTCATGCAAAAAACAAGAATACCTAAACTATCAGAAAAACAAGTACAAAGTCAAATTCTATTGGCGCTCCCAGTACACGGATTAGGATAACTTTAAAATGAATTAAAAATCAAGGCATTCGCGTTGGTTATTACTGGGGGAATTCCAGCTTGAAGTGAGAGTTCAGCTGCTGCCAAAGCTGTCAAGGGGGTAAGTTCAGCGGGTTTTATGACCACCGTACAACCAGATGCAAGAGCAGGTCCAACCTGAAATGCAAGGATAACAGAAAATAAGCTTTTTTCAATATCATAAATGAATTGGAAAGTCTTCTCATAAAAGCAAAATATACAGCACTGTAAACAATTGAACCGAAATGCTCATGATGGGGACCAACCTTTCGTGTAATCATAGCCAATGGAAAGTTCCAAGGAGTAATAACACCAACAACTCCAACTGGCTGCAAAAGTAGTATATGTTTATGAGACACTACGGACCTATGCTTTTTTATTACAAAACTTTATTCAAATAATATTCAGGTAGGAAATTTTCAATCAATTAAATCTTTTTAATGATTTCTTAGGAGTCATTGGTACTCTGTGAGTATGCAAAAATTTCTTGGTAGAATTATAAATAATGTAAGACTTCCCAAATTCCCTAAATCTAAATTTAGCAAACGGTAATCTGTCAAACATTATAAGATTAAGAAAAGGGTGTTGTGAGATGAAAGGGACTCCCTTCAGATCTATTTCCCAAGCCTAAGCATTACATGGTCAGTTGATTTTCAACGTAACAACAGCCCCTTAGGAAACACAAGATAAGATAACGCAAATTTCTCAATGCTTCAAAGACTTATAAGATGGTTACCCTGCATCCTGTGCAGTTGAACTTATGACACACCGGCATGCTAATGTGTGTGTACAATATTTAGATGTTCCGAATATCTCCACATTAAACATTGCAATAAATTTTTGTGGGTTGGATGATTAAATTTAAGTAGTTTCCTCGAGCGCACACCCAGTGATGCATTGGCATTCTAGTAATTATCCAAAAAATAAACAGCATAGAACTGTGTCACTTGACCTGCTTCAAGACAAAAAGTCGACGATCAGCTAGAGTTGGTGGGATTATATCACCATATACTCGTTTTGCTTCCTCGGAAAAGAACTCGATAAAGCTGGACCCATAGTTGGTCTGTATGATGAGTTGGAAAATGTATGTTAAAACAAACCAATGCCACCTCAAAACTTAATGATTACTGCAGTGCACCATATGATACCTCACCCAAGGCTTCCTTTAAGGGTTTGCCTTGCTCTAAGGTTATTAGTTGTCCGATCTCTTCTTTGTGAGCAATTAGGAGCTCATACCTTCGAAATACAGAAGGAAAGAAGAAACATTATAAGCATGATAGGTAACCAATGCAATACTATTCCAAGAAACTAGGCAACATCGAATTTTATAATGGTCCAATCACAAAAGAGCTCAATTTTATTGCCTTTGCTACCTTTTTGTATTTCCTTTTCTTACTCAAAGTCTTGTCGAAGCAGAACAATACATAAATGTCAATGAATTTATCTTGCATACAAAGACTTGTTAGTATCTTTCTATTGATATCTTAAATGTGTGGGGTTAAAAATTTCAAATGATGTAAGAAATTGATTCCTTTTCTCTTAATATCCAACTGGACTCTGGTAGATTCTTTTTGTGTGAATATTAAACATGTGGACTCTGGTGGATTCTTTTTGTGTGAATATTAAACATGTGGACTCTGGTATCAACCCACAAGAAGTTTTTTTGTAACTACAATCTACAGTTGATGTACATGATTGGAAAGCCTTGACTGTATAGTTTTTGGGAGGGTTTGCTCTACCCTCCGCCACTAAGCTGTCTCCTTTTTGGGTTCTCCCCGGTTATTAATATACCTTTCTCTTGTTTCTCATCAAAAAAATATATATCCAACTGGAGATAGCTGAAAGGTAATAATAATGATAATAAATTTATAAAAAAAATAGAAGAAGATAACAATAATTAAGTTGGTACCATTTACGCAAGTGATTACTCCGGTCAGCTGCAGTGAGTTTGCTCCAACCTTTAATGAAATGTGGCAGATGGGTCAAGTTAGCGAGTAAATTCCTTTATAAGAAACAACTTTCATTAGTTAAACAAATTAAGTTACAAAAGATGAGGGAGGTGAGCCACAACAAAAGCCATGGAAGTCATAGAAAAATGACTCCAAGTGGCAGAAATAATCTTTAAGCCATAATTACAAAAAAAAAAAAAAAAAAAAAAAAAGGTTTGTAGAGTTTGCACTAAAAATGGTGACAAAAAGTTAACCACCAATATTATAAAAGACGTGAAAGAAAGAATTGTTAGTTCAACACTTCGACGTAATATTGTAACTGAGTGAATCTCCTTGTACACACATAGCTTTAGTCTGAAATAATCTGAAACTTACACTTAAAAGCATTATACGCTGAAGAAATAGCATCATCAGTCTCCCTTTTGCCCATAAGCGGGACATTTGTTATAACTTCACCATTGGCTGGATTATGAACCTGCAACACAAAGATGAGTTTCTTAGATATCCGCTAACTTAACTGTGGGCAAATATATGGGAACGACTTATACAATGGTTTACCGCGCCTCTGAATAAATAAGATTAATCGGCCATTTCTAATATATAATGAAAATGTATGATTTTCTCCCTCAAACCAAGAAAATTTTAGATAAACAATCACGAGTTCGAACGATCTGGAATTTGGTCGTCCGGTGAGTTTAACATAGCCAAGATAAATTTTGCAGCAGTTAAATGAATAAGAGGAAAATAATTCATCACTCGACTTGCCGAAAACTGAGTTTAACAAATCCGCACATTTACTATCGGAAGCACCAGAAAAACCAAAATCCTTTCAGCCATACCTTAAAGGTCTTCCCGTCATAGGCATCAATCCACTTCCCGCCAATAAGGCCTTGGCTTCGTAACAATCCAGAACTGTGTAGACGAGCAGCGATACTCTGCGCCTCGGAACTCATCTGACATCCAAGCATATTAGCATAGGTTTTACTTCCAGAAATTCGAATTATCAATCAAAATGACGAGTAAGGAACAAACAGGAAAGTAAGACGATTACCTGCCGAATGAGAAGAGTGTGAGAACGAGATTTCTGCGCAGCAAACACATGAGACGATGGAGACAGAAGACGAAGCCAGCTCGATCGCACCACTGAACGATCTGTTGCTAATGCGTTTGCAGCGACCGCCATCCTCATTTTCGATCTCTGTTGTTTCTTCTGTGGAATTCAACTATGGCTGCCCCGCAGCAGATAACGATTACTACTCACCTTCGCGACTCCAAATCTGTTCGTAAATCTCACGTTCGAAAATGGAAATTCAACGTCATCAGTGTCTGCGCTGATTGTTTGGATGCACCTGCGGAAGAAAATATTCTCGAGATTCCGCTTTCCTTTTTATTGCTAAAATCTGCCTCTCCCTGCGAAACTCCTTTTCAATTTTGCATCACCGATATCTCGACTGTTTTAGAAATTTATTTAATATCTAAATTTCTATAAATTTACATTTTTAAATTTCTACGAGTAGGATTTTCATTTAATTTCAAATTTACTCATATGGATAGCATTTTCATTTATTAATGGATTTGGATTTCCATAAATTAATATCACAATCATTTAATAAATGTGGGCCTCAATATTATCTCAATTCAAATTCCTTAATTCTCTCCTCCCAAATCCCTCAAAAATGATTTTTTTCTCTCTCCTCCATTGTTTCCGTTCTCTTCTCCAAATCCCTCGATTTTCTTCTTCTTCGTTTTTTTCTTCCGTTTTTTCTTCCGTTTTTCATCTCTCTCCATTGTTTCTGTTTTCTTCCTCGTTCACTACCCAACAAAACATCTTTGTCGTCTGCTACGGTGCTACGAACATTTTCCCTTCGATTTCTGATATGTTGCACGGTGCTACAATATTTCAAAATGGTAATCTAAATTTTCTGCACTCCTCTCACATTCGCACTTGTTCAATAACAAAAACACAGTATGCTACACGCCACTCATCATTCAAAACATTAATTCTGGTTTTTCCACCGTCATTCACGCCTCCAGCAATTACATGTTTTTATTATTTCTTATGATTATAGATTAATATCACAGTTTTTTCCACTGTCACATTATTTATGCACTTCATATTACTATTTTGTTTTAAATTACATTTTAGCTATTATAAATTATGTTCATGTTGTTTTGTTATTATAAGATAGGGATTAGTACATACATGGATACATGATATACTTGTACTATTGAAATATACTATCAATTACGTATAAACACCTATTAAGTAGTATATAATTTATACCCATGTAATGTACTTTTATAAATGT